CATAGCTAATGTATTGTACGTTGAACTTCTTTCGCACCGTACGTAGCCGACCGCGCTAAACAGAGTTTCGGTGAAGGACAACAAACTGATCACACTAAAATAATTTCTAAATAAATTAGTTTTCAACCAAAATTTAAAAGTGCATAGCTCCAGAGAATTCCTAACGAACCCATAAAAACCAACCTCTGATTCCACAAAAACAACTGCAGAAGCAGTGTTCATTCATAGTCCATCAAATGGCAAATGTCACCTACTATTAGTACAGTAGTAGTCACTCACATAACTGATGTAATCCAAGGAATGTGTAACTTGGCCGATTACAGCACGAGTTTTGTCAGCTTGTACTCACAAACACCAATTAAGTTCAAAGCCTAAGTGTGGGAATCCGTGCATCTCCATCGAGGACCCATGTCTATGTCAATGGTGACCGTTCCACATTCAGGTGGCAGGACCAGTCCATCCATTGGCTTGTCATTAAAGGATGTGATTACACTTGGGACCAATATTTGTGGGTGAATTTGACAACAAACGAGTATTGGACGCACAGTCAACTGTTATAATATCAAGCTTGTCAATAGTGAACGTTCCACATTCAGGTGGCAGGACAAGTCCATCCATTGGCCTGTCATTAAAGCATGTGCACCTGATACACTTGGGACCAATATTTGTGGGTGAATTTGACAACAAACGAGTACTGGACGCATTGTCAGAATGTTATATCAGGCGTGTCAACCAAATCAGGAGTGAGAGCCCGATCCACACAGACATCGCAAAGCTAAGCCGGGCTCGTGCCTGCAGAGTGCCTGGATGGGCGACATCCACGATGCATCATCATAACAAGTTGTTAAAAACCGCAGGGGGAGTTGCAACACAACTCATTGTTGTACTATACTACGCTGCAACATCTATGCTTCCACCCCAAATTTCAGTGTTGTGTGTATTTGTACACGCGCATACGATTGGTAAAGCTCGTCAATAACAAGGCCGACGTTTCGGGTCGACGACCCTTCGGCGTGTACAAAATTCCATTGGTATCAACGCGTAAACAAATGAACGTAAAACTCAAAAAACCACATCCTTAACAACACTACAGAATACAACCAGACCGGCCACTCAATATACTAGTCCGGATAAGCGAGCAGCCACACGGCCGACTCTCCCGCGTTAACCACCCCCCCCGCCCGCCTCCTCACGCCGCGATCGTTTCGCTATAATCACCCGCGGCAATCTGGCGAGCCGCCGACGCGTCTCTGCCGTCCACGGCGAGCCCGAGCAGCCCGGAGAGGTGGACACGCTCGCTCCATTGCTGCTGTTCTGGCGGCACGGCCATGTGGAGTCAATGTGGCCCTTAGCGGTAGGCAGCGCGGGTGGGGGGGGGTGGTGGCGGGTGAGCAACTAGCCAATGGGAGCGCGAGTTTGAGGGGGGGTGGTGTTGGGGGGGTGGTGGGGGTGGCGGGTGAGCAACGAGCCAATGAGAACGCGAGTTTGAGTGTGGGGGGGGGGTGTAGGGGGGTGGTGGGGGTGGCGGGTGAGCAAGTAGCCAATGGCAGCGCGGGTGAGGGGGGGTGTGGTGTTGGGGGGTGGTGGGGGTGGCGGGTGAGCAACTAGCCAATGGGAGCGCGAGTTTGGTTGTGGGGGGGGGTAGTGTGGGGTGGGGTGGCGGGTGAGCAACCAGCCAATAGGCGCGCGAATTTGGGTGTGGTGGCGGTAAGTGGACCAACCAGCCAATGGGAGCGCAAGTTTGGGTGTGGGGGGGGTGGCATTATTGGGGTGGTGGTGGGGGTGGCGGGCGACCAAGCAGCCAATGGGCGCGCGAGTTTGGGTGTGGTGGAGGGAAGTGGACCAACCAGCCAATGGGCGCCCGAGTTTGGGTGGTGGAGGGGTGCTGGGGGGGGGGGCGGTGGCACGTGACCAATCAGCCAATGGAAGCGCGAGTTTGGGTGTGGGGGGGGGTTTGTGTGGGGGGGTGGTGGGGGGGGTTGGCGGGTGATCAACCAACCAATGGGAGCGCGAATTTGGATGTGGGGGGGGGTGGCGGGTGACCGATCAGCCAATGGGAGCGCGAGTTTAGGGGTGTGGGGGGGGTGGTTTGTGGGGGGGGGGGGGTGCCGTTAACCAATCAGGAGCGCGCGGCTGGCGCGAGCGGACTACGAATTCTAGATGGCGGGTTAGGGGTCATCGCGAGTGTGTCCGGTACGTGACGTTCAATTGACATTTGTGTTGTGTTCGATAATATCGTTGTTGTTTTAAAGTTTAACATCCCCCGGCTCGAGTTAGTTTTATTTATATCGTGGTCGTTTGTCGGTGTGTGTGTGGGGAGGGGGTTTGTGACAAAACAATGTGAGCCCGATGATTTGTGAAGGTTTAATTTGAGGCGGTTCGCGATTCACGAGGTGGTCAACGTTATGTGTTGACGACCCTTTAACAAACAACAAGGTTTAACTTTCCTCCGGTGTCAACCAACAAACACCAGCAGGTCAAAGCTTTCGCCTGAGTTTACTACGCCGCAATTCCGTGAATTATTAGGGAGGTTTTGTTTTTTTTACGATCAAAATAAGTCAACGGACAACGAACGACGTTTTGTTGTTGTCAGTCTAAACTGAACGTCCGGGTCGAGTCGTGGGTGTTTTATAGTGTACAGTGTAGTGTGTATAGTAGTGTAGTGTGTATAGTAGTGTATAGTAGTGTAGTGTGTATAGTAGTGGAGTGTATAGTAGTGTAGTGTATAATAGTGTTGTGTTTAGTGTACAGTGTAGTGTATAGTGTATAATAGTGTAGTGTGTATAGTAGTGTAGTGTGTATAGTAGTGTAGGGTATAGTAGTTTTAGTGTGTATAGTAGTGTAGTGTGTATAGTAGTGTAGTGTATAGAGTATAATAGTGTTGTGTGTAGTGTATTGTGTAGTGTATAGTAGTGTATAGTGTACAGTGTATAATAGTGTTGTGTGTAGTGTATAGTAGTGTAGTGTGTATAGTAGTGTAGGGTATAGTCGTGTTGTGTGTAGTAGTGTACAGTGTAGTGTATAGTAGTGTAGTGTATATAGTAGTATAGTGTATAGTAGTGTATAGTAGTGTAGTGTGTATAGTAGCATAGTGTATATAGTAGTGTAGTGTATAGTGGTGAGTAGTATATAGTGTAGTGTATAGTAGCATACCTGTCAACCCATATGGTTTAAACCCGAATTCTTGTCCAGCGAAATTAAGTCTTCAGGTCCATATGGCGTACAGCCGTTTCAATACGGGCAAAACAACGTCTGTCTATTTGTGTTTGTCCCTTGTGATGGGACTTTTTAGGATGAACGTTGATATTTTATAAGCGGCACGGGGGTGACCAATACGTTTTGATTTGGTCTGTAATAAGATAGGGCACTGATAAGGTTAGATTTGAAGCTTTCGTGACTGCAAGGATTCATACTCTTAGGTTTTTTCGGTAAAGTCACGTAGGTAAGAAATAAAATTAAAATTTATAAAAGTAAAATAAAAATTACGACGTTTCGGAGGCAACACAAGCTTCCGTCTTCAGGTGGAACCGTCACAGCACGATTGCTGTATCAAGTAAAGACTTAGTAAAGACTTGATACAGCAATCGTGCTGTGACGGTTCCACCTGAAGACGGAAGCTTGTGTTGCCTCCGAAACGTCGTGATTTTTATTTTACTTTGATTAATTTTAATTTTATTTCTTACCTACGTGACTTTTTCCGAAAAAACCAAAGAGTATGGATTCTTGCAGTCACAAAAGCTTCAAATCAAGATTAAAACTCAACCGGTTATGGTACCCGCCCTCCACCAGCACACTAACCAGAGTGGTGAAGTTTGGCCAAACAACCCGCAGCAGTGGATGACAGATATCGATCTATCACATTGTAAACTGCGTTAGTAGGCTGGCTGAAATCTCACGGTTAAGAATTCCCCGCACAAGTCACGTTGAGGTTGACCCAGCAACAGGGAGTCAAACCTGTATTCTAATTTGATAGCGCAACTCTTCGTTTCAACAGTAAGTTGTCCTTTATATACTCTTTGGGTTTTTCGGTAAAGTCACGTAGGTTAAAAAAGAAAACAACTAAATTAAATCACGACGTTTCGGGGGCAACACAAGCTTCCGTCTTCAGGTGAAACCGTCACAGCAAAATATTGCTGTGTTGCCTCTGCAACGTCATGATTTAATTTGTTTTATTTTTTACCTACGTGACTTTACCGAAAAAAACAAAGAGTATGAATCCTTGCAGTCACGAAAGATTCAAATCTAGAATGTCCTTTTTATGTTTGTGATTATGAGCGTTGTGACAGGTTATAGTGGACTCTCGTGACACACCGTAGTGGAGGTTGCCGAAAGGAATGAATGGGATATACAGACTCCCTTATAACTGTACTCTCTGATATTTACTCCAGTGCTCAATTACTGGATAGCATGAATCCCCCATGTTCCATCTATTATATACTGACTACTACATAAAAAATATAGATTTAAGGCGCAATAGTGTAATGGAACAATGTGATGCGCGAACGGCCATGGACACTATAGGTGTACAGCGTAGTTAAAAAAAAATCTGTACGATGTTATAAAATACATCATTCATCTAGACCCAAATACAAGAGCATCTCAAAATACTTGCGTCATTTTACTTGTCTTTTATACATCAATTAATATCACGCATTTTGTTAACGATTGCTCTCCTACAAACTAGTGTAGTTACATTACTTAATTGCGGTGCTGCATTATTATATACTGCAAAGCTTCCAGTCTTTATTAGGAGTCTCAGAAGAGGTGTGCATCGCATCTGTCTGCACCACAGCGTCAGTCCGTCCCGGCAAGGGCGACGCTCGCGATGCTGCGCTCCAGCGCTCGCTGTCTCCGCGCGGTGTCGGGCCACCTCGCCCACCACAGCCGCTCCATCTCCGCGGCAGGAGGCTCCTCCGTAGGCCGGGTGCAGCGGCTGGGACGTTTCGACGGCTCTGCCGACAGGAGGGCGCCGATGTGTTTGGGCCGCTTCTCCTGCTTCGTGGAGCCACGGGGGACCCCGTGCGCCACGGCCACCAGGACCCTGCATGTGTCGTCACGGCGGTTGGCGCCCCCGGCACTCCTGTGGCTCCTCACCAAGCCCCTGCAGAAGCTGGTGGCCATGATCCTGGGCAGGTACAGAGAACCCAGAGAACATCCAGGAATGGGCAAAGTGTTCGTTTTGTTTAGTAAAAAATTCCCACAGTCATATTCCAATTGTGCAGCATATCACCGTGGCTAAATGAGAAAGATCTTTACTACAGTATAGGTTTTTTGCTGTTGTGATGTATGGACCCTCCGATTCAGTTCCTGAAGAAGCTGAAAGCACGTGGAGTGAAACATCGCACATCATGCCAAACGACAACTGGTGACACCCGAGAACACATCGGAGGGAAAGTATTTTAATCGGTGCATATTATCTATGCATGGATCAAAAGCGTAGACATTAACTAAGGAAATGGAACAAACAATGAAAAGCACGCAAAGAATCGTGGCGAGATCCATTTTTGGTATTGTAACCACAGAACAAAAGTGGAGTACGTTGATTATAGAATGTACACCAGATAGAGGCATCATGCTGACCATTAAGAAACTATACTGGGCTTGGGCAGGTCACATTGCTCGCAGAGGTGATGCCCTTGGTTGACACCAGTGACCAACTTGCTAATCGCACCTCCGATTAGCACGGTTGGCTACGTGTGTTGCGTAAAAGAAGTTCAACATAATGACGAAGTGGCAGCCAAAAGAGAGAGCATGCCTGAGACAACATCCGCCGTAGAAAAATATAACAATTACATCGGCTCGAGAATTGTAGCATCGCACAATTGTGTGTAGGCCATCGTCTGGTTGCGGGCCGATTTACGACCGACGACGATCCTCCCGTGCAGGAGCCTCCGCAAGTGGTGGCAGGGCCTCCCGCAAGACAAGCGCACCCTGCTGCGGGAGTGGGCGTCGCGAAACCGCGGGCGGATCGCGATGGTGGTGCTCGGCATTGGGGGCCTCTCGGTGGCATTCTACGTGACGCACCTGGACGAGACACCGTTGACGGGGCGCCGGCGGCTGCTAATCTTCAGCTCCGAGCAGTTGACCTGGCTGTCCGAGATGGAGTACAACGAGGTTGTTTGTTTGTCGGTTTGTTTTTGTTGTTGTTCAGAAGCTGGCCCGCGGCGACCAGCAGTGATGTAGTTCATAGTCTTTGGTTCTATCGGTAAAGTCACGTAGGTATACAATAAATAAATTAAATCACGACGTTTCGGGCGCAACACAAGCGTCCGATGTAATTCATTTACGTGACATGCGGGGGCGGTGGCGTGGCTGAGCGGTAGTGCATTTGCCGCTTTTTGCAGAAGTTCGAGGTTGTGAGCACAGCAGCCTCCCTGGTTAATACTGTGGGTGTATTAACTGTAAAAAATAAATCTGCGCCGTCCCCTTTACAGTGGAAGTTAAGGATCCTGTTATGTTTACGAAAAAAAAGAGCCGGCCATGTGTGCCACCGTCATGAACTAAATTTGACAATCTACTCACAAATGACCTTTCTGAGATCTGTCGAGACAAGGCACGTTGTGGGCGATTTGGTTATAGGTTTTTGTATACTCAAACCAACATGTACACTTCTCATTGCCGTAATAAGCCACGTTTTTTAAATTTAATTGGCTTTTTTTACTGCGACGAAAAAATGTATGTCTTGCCTGTGCGCGCGACAGACAATAGAAGAGTACAAGGACAACATTCTGCCCGAGAGCCACGCGGCTCACAGGGCGGTGGCTCTCGCTGTGCAGCAACTGGTGGAGAGGAACCAGGACGTGGCCCAGGTGGCGAGCACGCCCTGGACGGTCAGCGTGGTGGACCTGCCCAAAGCCAACGCCTACGTGTTGCCCGTGAGCACCAGCGTCCGTGGTGACCCGTCACCGGAGAACAGTTCGGTCTCTCTTGTGGCTTCAGAAAATGTTGGAAATGTGGGACGTCCCGAAGGGAATAGTTCTCCCTCTCTCTGGTTTTTCGGAATAATGGAAGCAATCTGCAAAGCTTACAAGACATAAAACATAGCGCACTCATGATAGCCTTGGTATTATAAGAATGGCACGGATACCAAGTACAGTAAAACCTTGGAAGGCGAGTAACTTGGTTTGCGAGTGTTTTGCAAAACGAGTAATTTTTAAAATAAATATTCATTTGATAAACGAGCGAGGTCTTGCAATACGAGTAGTACGTATATACGCTTTGTCTGCCGAGCGTCACGTGATCACAACGGATATACGAGTGCTTTGGATTACAAACACGTTTCCGGAACGAATTATGCTCGCAATCCAAGGTTTTACTGTATTGTCCTTCCGCACCTCTGATGAACACGGTTGGCTATGTACAGTGCGAAAGATGTTCAGCATACAAATATACCTACATTTATTGGCGCTGACAAACAGCGCTAAAAGGATACGAGTACGTAACAAGTTCTTACCTTGGCGAGAGACAGACGGTGAAGAAACAGGAGGAACACAAGACTTGCAGATATCTTACCGATAATTATTTTAATTCGGGAAGCTTGACTCGTTTGTAATGTCCGTTTCGTATGTTGCGTCCCGTGTGTTCCGTATCGTGCGTTCAGTCTTAGCGACTGTTCAGAAGGTGGGCTTGCTTTTCATAAAAATTAATTTCCCGAGTAAAGCCGATTGAGCTGTACAGTTTTTTCAATGGCGACTTGGCCAACAGACGTCCACTTTCATTGGGGCCAAGCATCGCCTACGCTTATCTGCCGTCAGCACCAGTGCGGTGTTCATTGCTGCCATCCCTAAGGGGATATAAATTATTTATCTCTGGGTACTTTGTGCTGCTCCACGAGTATATAAAAAAGTATCTTGCTTATAACGGCAAGGTAGCTTGGAGATCAGAACACTGAGAGGGCTGAAATCCTGAGTCATTGGTGACTGGGCTGAGTCCATCATTAACTCTAGATTTGAAGCTTTCGTGACTGCAAGGATTCACATTATAAGGTTTTTTCGGTAAAGTCACGTAGGTAAAAAATTTAAATTAATAAAAGTAAAATAAAAATTAAATAAAAATCACGTCGTTTCGGAGGCAACACAAGCTTCCGTCTTCAGGTGGAACCGTCACAGCACGATAGCTGTATCAAGTAAGAGGACTGTTTTCTTGGAATTTCTCTTACTTGATACAGCTATCGTGCTGTGACAGTTCCACCTGAAGACGGAAGCTTGTGTTGCCTCCGAAACGTCGCGATTTTTATTTTTATTTTACTTTCATTAATTTTAATGTTTTACCTACATCATTAACTCGCTACACTTGTAGAACTCGGTTTAATCACAGGCAGCTTTCCTGGATTCAAGCTCAGAATCTCAGCAGTGGCAACTCAGTGCACCGATCGCCGAGCCAACCCAGCCACCTCAATTGTTCAAAATCTTGAGATGCAGTCACATTTTAGACACTGACCCCATACATCCAAATTGCAACCGTTTTTTTCTCGTTTGTGTGCTTGTTGATGTGCGACGAGGCAGAATGGACAGATCTTTGTGTTCACGGGCATGCTGGAGAAAGTGGCCAACGCCGACCAGCTGGGCATCGTGCTGGGTCACGAGATGGCCCACGCCGTCCTGGGACACGCGGTAATGGCAGCACACTTGCTCACACTCTTAGTTCTTTCGGTAAAGTCACGTAGGTAAAAAAATGAAATTAAAATTAATAAAAAAAATAAAATCACGACGTTTCGGAGGCAACACAAGCTTCCGTCTTCAGGTGAAACTGTCACAGCAAAAAAATCTGTATCAAGTGGAGAGAAGTCCCACTGGTTAAGGGGGGAGGAGCCAGGAAGGGCCACGGGAGAGGAGGAGTTGTGAGATGGTCAGTACTGCTGCTGGAACTGAGCCCTTGTAATGTAGATGGCATATGTAGATAAGCCAGCTAGGATTAAGCCGCCTTTTTGTTATGCTGCTGGGTGGGTAAATTAAATAAATATGAAAAAGGAGAGTACTGTTAAACGCTGAGGATGTTAACACTCGGTAGAGTAAAATAGTGCCTGTCAGATACTTGCTCACCCAGTGTCGCTCGCTCACTCCGCGTTGCTACCAACACGTAACTCGCCCCAGTCATAGGTTTATCCGGGTTTACATATTTTGGGGTTACGTGTCCTCTGTTTAGATCAAAGCTATTTCTCTCATCTTGCAGTCTCTGCCAGAAGGTACAGAGAGACGTGACAATACAACCAAGACACAAAATAATGATGCGTGATTCTAATTTTAAATCGTAGCAATCCATCCAGTCGCAGCTGGCGGCGATGGATTCATTAAAAGTGCATCAAAGGTTTGTGTGTCGTAATTGTCGTAAACGTGTTGTGTGCTCTTGCAGGCGGAGAAAGCGAGCTTCCTGCACTTCATAGACTTTTTCTCCCTGGTTTTTATCACGATAATTTGGGCCGTGCTGCCGAGAGACTGGCTGTCAGCGCTGGGGCATTGGGCTCACAGCCAGGCAATGCAGGTAATGCTTTCCATTGACCCTTGCATTTTCAGTCACGCCAAATGCGGCAACGTACATCTTGAAAGGCGTTAATGTTTATACTGTAAACATAATTAGACACAAATGGCTTGTGATTTTCTTTTCATGTCGTGACTCGGATTTTTTTTTTACTAGAAACTAAAAAAGTTTACGATTTTTTTTACGTCAAAATGTTGATAAATTGCTTACTGAAAGCAACAACTATTGAAAAAAATACAATTTAAGATGCATTTATTTACAGAAAATAGTTGATTTTGAAATGAGAAAATAAAAAACATGTACAAAATTTTTATAAGTTGATCCACTGCCTTCAGCAGCGGATTAACAAAGGGATGTAATGAACATTATCGTTTTGAGCATGTACAGTTAAAAAACATTGACACATTTTATAGTTACAAAACAATAACGTACGTAGTTTTTCTTGCAAAAACTGATGTTTCCAATTTCATCCCCAAGCTTCACATCCACCCAGTAACACTCATTGCACATCTTCTTGGTTCTTTCGGTAAGGTCACGTAGAAGGGAAATAATAAAATTAAAATAAAACATTAAAAAATAAAATATGTTTTATTTCCTTTCTACGTGACTCTACCGAAAGAACCAAGAAGATGAATCCCTGCAGTCACGAAAGCTTTAAATCGAAACTCAATGCACAATCACGTGATTTCAATTACGTCCAATGACCGTCGTCCGTTTCGTCATGGCGCCCACAGCTGCTGCTGGACATGCCCTACAGCCGCCAGCTGGAGAGGGAGGCCGACGAGGTGGGGCTCAAGCTCGCCGCCAAGGTCAGAGACAACGAGGGGGGGGGGGGGCCCTCGGCACCGGTGCTTAATATCTCGCGCAAATATTTTCCGTGCCGCTGGTGTGCAGACTGGAGCGGCAGCTCGTTGTCCTTCCCCCGGCACCTTCGATTAGCACGGTTGGAAGACGTACGGTGCGAAAGAAGTTGAACATGCAATTTTACAGCAGGTGGCACGTGACTCTTACCCACAGCCATAGCGCAAGGTGCACTGGGAGCAGAAACATTTTCTCCGGATTGCCGATCTGGTCAGACCCGGCCAAAATGTAGGCCCCTGCTTGGTGTCCTCCTACTCAACATCGCCACCCACACGGCTCCCGCTGTCCGTCATCGCAGGCCGCGCCAAACTCGGGACGAAACAACAGCGCCACGCTATTAAGCGCAATGCTTTTTAATCCTGGAATGTTTCAACTGATAGTATTAGTGCCCATGGGTGGCATGCCTCCGTCACAAAAAATAATGCTGCCACCATAAAACATTTTTAACAAAATGGTGTGGCATGATGTGAAATTTTAACAAAGTCACAAAATTCCACCAGTCTAAAGTTACAGCAGTTTTTAACGGTTACAGCATTGTTCCATTTTCAAATGTGGCAACTGCAACATTTGTGCCCAAAAAAAAAGGTTTAAAAACACTGTTTTGTCTTAATCTTTACGCGGCACCAAGGATTCACCTCTTGCCCATGTGTAGCACTTGAAGGTGAAATAAATAATCCATACCAGAGGCATATCATATTGTGGAAAAGAATCTGACAGCGGCTTTACACGACATCCTTTGAAGATATATCTTACAACTGCTGGAGTGTGCTCCTTAGCGATGCGGTTCATGCCTGCGTGCTGAATTAGCCAAGGACTGGCAAACCATCAAGTGAAAACAACAATATCATGGGTTACGTGTGCAGTCATCGGTGACTTAAATCTATCACATATTTTGTACTCGACAACACGGTTTAATCGCGGGTGGCTACAGCCAACGTTAACATTTTGAGCCCCCAGTCACTCAGCCACTTACTAAGACAGCCAAACCTCGTTCAAGTCTTGATGACAACATAAGATAAATTCCATAAGTAGCCAGGTGGCTCGGGGATGAGAGGACTGAACTGGTACTGCCGAGATTCTGGGTTCGAATCCTTGTGATTAAACCGGATTCTCAAGTGGTAGAGAGTTGATGAGTTGAAAGTATTAGCTTGGTCACCAACATTAGTCCACGATTCTGCACTTAATGTGTATAATCTAGCTCCGATCTTGAAAAATATCATAACATGACTCTCGGTGGCAGAACGATGTGAGAAAGTGCCACCGCCTAAATGCGTGGAGCAGAGGTCATGTGGGAGCAATCTCGGAGGTAACTCTACGACATCTGCTTCCGTGGACGTTCTCCAACATGTTCTCGAGCGGAGTCTTACTGCTCTGCGAGAGCTTTACATGGCATGACGCGGATACCACAATCGAGACGTAAGTTTAGATCGTACATATTTATGTATTTTTATCGCTGCGTTGCGTGCATGTGCCAATTCAGGCCTGCTTTGACGTCCGAGCCAGTGTTGCATTCTGGGAACAGATGCACACGTCGGAGGAGGAGGGTGTCATGCTGCCCGAGTGGCTGTCGACTCACCCCTCGCATGAGCAGCGGGCGGCTCACCTCCAGCGCCTGCTGCCTGAAGTATGTTTCCCGTTCCACCACCACCATACGAGGGTTGCCACCTGTGTTGGGGTGGCAGGAATTGATTCGTACCGAGACCTGGTACCGCTTATGTGAAGTTATCCTGGCTTGGTTGAGAAGTTGGGATTGTGGTCTGGGATGTGACCTAATGGACTCATTTGTTTGTGCTAACTTTTTTTGTTGTGCTTTTTGTTTTGGTGCCATTTATTAATTTCTTTATTCATTTTACTTGGTAGTAGGGATTTAATTTGCTTGGTGTGTAGGTGTGTTTATTGGGCTTCTTTCGCGCCATGCGTAGTCAACCGTATATATGGTCCTTGTACATAATTAATGTACAGCGTTGTGGGATGCTGTTGGCATGAATGATGCTATATGAAATTGAAGTATTATAGTTTTTACTGCAGTTATGATAGACAGTGCTGAGAAATATCCGGGTTTGGTTGGCAGTGGAAGAGGTATTGACATCACACTGCACCCTCGTAGTCCCAGCGGATGAAAAACCAGCCTCACCCTAGAGCGTCAAGGCTCGGTGCATCATTGTCAACATCCATCAATTCACTGCTGGATGATGGCCTCTTCAAGCAAACCACCATCTCAGTCCTGCAATGTGCATTTGTGATGGACTGGACTCATAAGAGTGCGCAATAACAAATCTTCTTACTTACAATGTAATATTCCATCTTGCATCTGCACAACACGAGATTATTTCATTATTCAATCTCTGCTGGCGATGTCCTCTTGGGTGCGTTTTCTCCTTTGGCTGTCGCGACGTCAACCAACGGCTATCCCTTCCATGGATGTCTCTTGCCCAATCCAACTTACTGTTCTTGATAGTCATTATGATGCCTCTAACTTATACATGATCTTCATGAATATGCACACTTCTTTCCTGTTTGGTGCAATTCCAAGCATGCACCTCTGCAGGCTTTGCGCACTTTACAACTATGGTTCCATTTATGATCCGTGTCATAGCGGGCAATATATATACACGAATCAAAAACCACCACTAATTGGTATGCTCACAATTCAGTGTACGTATATCACGAACCTCAGAATAAATTCGTACCAACGAATCGATGCATCTTGAAACACCTTCTGGACAGTAGTTTCATGCTGTTGGTGTGTTTGCCCGCGTTCCCCCATGCCGCAGGCGATCAAGCTGCGCGAGGCGTGCAATTGCCCGGCACTCGCCAGCCTAGACCCGCGTCTCATGCTCCGGATCCTCAAGGCGGCCATCTCAGGCCCGGGTGGCCGCCAAGCGGTGGCGCCCGCCCTGGCCGCCGTGCCCATCCTCCCGGTCGGCGTGGCAACCATCGCGGAGAAACCATCGCCGGGCGGAGATCGCGTAACGTCGCGCCGTGGAACCGGCCCGGAAGGACAGTGACGCACGCCGTACGGACAAGAGGACCGCACAACCAACCCACCTCCTGTACGGTTGAGGACCAATACTTCACCATGCTCGTGGGTTCAGTGCTGGCAAGCGAAGCGGTCGCAGTGCTCGGAGGGCTGGTTTTACATATCACCCCCTGCCACTGATGTCAGCCGTGGCCGGGATTGAACTCGGCTCGCTGGGTCGGTGGCGTAGTGTGCAATCAACTCCAAGACACCTCCCTCTTCTCCTCTGCCGTGTGTCGGTGCTTTGCCCCAGAGACAATTTTAAGGAACGTGAAGATGTTTCAATGGTGCGCAGTCACATGCACTCGCGTGTCGGTATTTCTTGAAAACCAAAAACAGAAAATCAGATAACCGAGAAAATCGCGATGCTGGTTAAGCAATATTTATTTGAACTATTTTCATAAATGTCTCGTAGATGTCACGGAAAAATAGGATTTTTTCTAAACGTCTTGAGCGTGCGGTCAAAAATGGGAAATGAAGGTTTGTTGTGGTGTGGGTTTTTAGCCACAATTTTTTGAAGTTAATAAAAAAACCCAGAATTATTATTTTTTACAAATGTTGACTAAGGTTCCAGGATTTGTTTTTTTTCCTCTTGTTCTTTGTTTTCTTCTTGTCCGCTGCTGGTGTCTTGGCTGTCCCCGTCTTGGGCCTTGCACCAGCATTCTGTGCAGCCCTGCACACACAAACAACCCCGCCATAAAGTGCCTTCTTTGACTCAAAGACAAATATACAATGCAACACTTGAGAGGTGGCTGGGGGTGCATCGTGAATAAGGCTGTGCACGTGTCAAAAGGTTTGTACGATGTCTACATGCGTGTAAGGCTTCACACGTAACCTACATACGTGTGCAAGGTGTGCCATTGTGAACTTCTCGATGCCATTAGGTATTGAACGTGGCCACGGCCACACGGTGTCTGCGATAGAAGGCTGCGTAGTAGATATGCGAGGTGGCCAAGTGGTTCAGGAAAATAATTGCTGTGCCCTTGTCAGAAGCTGGCACCACTGACGTCCTAGTTTTAAATCCAGTACTCCACAATATGCACGTCAGACGCATCAGTGACTTAACGAAAATAAGTTGGCTTGGGTAGGATACGTCGCTAGATGGGATGGCCGGGACTAACAACGGAGTGGCAGCCGAAGGAGGCATCGTGCCCCAGCGAACACCCAACGGACACCCAACATGGAGACGGAGCTGTGGAATCGGCACGTGTGTAAGTGCAAGATCGATTGTTGCATTGCAGGATCATGAGATGTGACGGTGGCCTGGGGGAGGCCTTCATCCGGCACTGGATTGATCTTGGCTGATGATGATTTCCACAAAAATAAACCCATCGTCTTGGGTAGTGCTCTTAGTAGTCTTGCATCAAAACAAAATAAACAATTGTGATAAAGTTTAACTCTCCAGTGCTTATTTGGCAGCTGAGGGTTTAAGTTTAGCGGGCACAAAGATGGGACATTTAAGATTATCTAGCAAACAGCTTATTACACACAGTGACATGGCTCTGCTGCCGCTAGGTTCAAGAATGGATACGTGCTTTGTTCAATAGCAGCACAATTGGGAATTGATTATTATTTGTAAATTAAAGTAAGCAATGATAACACTACACACAACCTGAACAGAATTATGGATTTTTATTGCATCTAAATGAGACTACATCTCAGAATGCTCTACAGGAACAGTATGCATATGTATTTTACAGGAAGAGGCAGTCAGGATTCCAGAGCAGGGTCTTGGAGTCTGGACTTGAATGGGGCAGTGGGGGAGGGTGTTGTAGTCAGGAGGGAGGGAGAGAATGTGCTTTCTAGACTATCGGGGTTGGGTGGTTGGAGCAGCCGTGGCGGACGAGTGAAGTCCCACGTTACCTGCCCTGCGTTTTCGTCGTTGCTGGGTTCAGGATGACCACCTCGTCCTCCTCGCTGTCATCCGAGCCCAGACTCTTGTCCGCTGAAAAAAATATTAATCAATTTGAGAGAGAAAAAATCGTGCGTACGCGTGGATTCCGTAACGCTATCCAACATGCGTTCTTGGAAATGGTCATTCTTGCCCGGGTTTGATTATTGGATCGTATGAGTGTTACCGTGCCCCCCCCCTCCGGCCCTTTGTGGATTAAGGGAGGGAGCTGATGAATAAACACTTTCTACCTTGGTTGTAAAGCGTCCCGAAAAAAATGTAAAGTTATATTTTCTCAAATGTTACTGGAAATACTACTCAAAGTGAAAATGACTGCTAATTTGCACATTATTTAAACCCGTACAGATGAAACTCTGCAGGAGGTGTAAACTACATATCGTTTCTCAATGGAATCACACACGTGGTTAAATAAATGTGACTTGTTGTGAGCAAAGAGGTTTATACTGTTGAATAAATATTGCCTAAAGTGCGCACTGCTCTTTGTATTTTTTCAGTGAGGCCCGTACTGATGCATCGATTCAGTTATTCAAATCGATTCTCACGCTTATAAAATGTGCAGGTAATAGATTGTGCAACAATTTATTATAATTGACTATCGAAATAATACGCAAATTATATGCCGATATTATATATCGGCCAATGCAGTTAACAAAACAAACCCAACTGAACAAATGAGAATACAAACGAAAGAGTCAAATCAATACAAAAACATGGAATTTTTAACCCTCAAGCATCAAGTTTGCTGCGGTGGACTTATGAAATTATGCAAGAGGTCCTCGATACATCTGGGGAGTGACTTAAGACTCCTAACAATCACATTAAAGTGATGCAAAACATCCTTGGATTTCATGTCATAATTCATACAGGAGGGTTAAAAATCCCACAGTCGAATTGTGGCAGTTCAGCGAGCTGCTGAAGGAGGGTGGAAGGTCAAGTGCCCAGTTTACGAGTTGCTCCGACACTCACCTTGCACCGGTGCTGGATCGCGAACCTCCGTGCCGGTATCGGCCAAACCCTCCTCTCCCGGCATCTCTTCTTCCACCGTGTCATCTTCGCCTTCCAACTCCTCCTCATCCTCGGCCCATGCGTTGTGCAGGCCCTCGCCGATCTGCGCCGTGCCGCGTCCCCACACCTTCAGCTCCGATACGCTGCACGCACACCACCACAGGGAGAGAGAGAACATGCAAACTCCGAATATACAGGCGTCAGGGTCAGGATCGAACCCACAGCCAACTGTATACCAGGCGAGGTGGTTAACATTTCACCAATCACGGCACCCCCAAGTGATGTTAAGGCGAGTGGGCGAGCATCTGGCGAGTGGGCGAGCATCTGGCGAGCGGTTGACCTGGACCCCGAGGCGCGTAACGATGCAAAGTAAAGCCATCGTGGTCGCGGCGTACGCTGGCGGTGCCGTGGTGGTGGGTGGGGGGCGACGGCGCGGTTACGCACACGCTGGCCGCGGGCTCCGCTTGGGCAACGACCTCGCGAGCTCGGTCCTCCGCCTCCTCCGCCTCCTCCGCCGATACCACCGCCTCCTCGGCGCGCAATGCCGTGATGCGCTGGGTTGGCAGCGACTCCGCCATGCCGCACTTGCGCCCCTCCTTCCTGCTCCGGACAGCAAACCGGCCACACGGTACAGGGTCGTGCATCCGAGCTGTCAAAACGTCCGCCCCGAACCGATTTAACAGCCCGCGAGCATGGCTCGGTATTTGCGCAAGGTGGAATTGTTACGTTCGATAGATGTTCACGAGTACGACCCTTTCCACACACGCGACCGTATGTTCTTAAAAACAGTGGCTCCGTGACGCACCGGGCCTGCGCGTCGTTTTTGAGCGCTCGCTGGATGAGCTCCGTGATCTCGCCCACCTTCACGTTCGCGATCTTCGTGCAGCGCAGCATCTGGTGGCGGGGGGGGGTGGGGAAGGAAGTGGGGGGGGGGCAGCGGCAACCAAGCAAATGCAGAGTCAGCGTAATGGGGAAGGGAGCCGTGGTGGTGGTGGTGGGGCAGCACGGGGTTCCAGATCGACTACGTGTGATGGAGAGAGCAAACCAGGGTACGTGGGTTAGGGACAGCGCCACGATTATTATAGTTTGTGTATGCGTGTTGTGATCTCGCCACAGTTGCCCATGTTTGCCGGCGTGTCCGCGTGTGTGTGCGCGTGTGTCAGGTGCACGTGGCCTCAAAGTGCACCTGCCCTGGCACAGGTGCCGTGGTGACGTCACCGTGTGTCTGTGTGGTTGTCTCACCTGGTCCTGTGTGAGCATGATGCCGCCGCTCGATTGCACGGCGCACAGCTCTCCGTGCTTGTTCATTGCGATCACGAGTCGTCCGTCCATCACCCGCTCCTCCAGTTCCGTGGCGTCCACCAGCAGATACGTGCTGCACCGAAAGCCACCGACACATTTAAGACATTATTATTATTAAGCTCGTTTACCCAAAGCCGATGTTTAAACACCGCACCGGGAACTGGTAATGGATGAGGTGACCTAGGGGAGACCCGCTCTCCATCGATGTTAACCGTGATGGGGGAATTGAACTCAGGTCTCCGGGTTTGTAATGCAGCGCAATACCCACCGCACACACCACTGCACCACCGCTCTCACATACACAACTAAAATAACCGCCATTCGCCAGTAAGTGACCGTGGGCATCACCACGATGCTTGTGGCACACTAGGGACACAAATACAAGTGAATCTAAACATAAATATAAACAATCGCACCTCCGATTAGCATGGTGCGAAATAAGTTCAACATACATACATACAAACCACACACATCACGCGTGAGTATTTACACTGCATTAGCAGGTAGCAAAAAAAAATGCACAAAATATTTAAAATCACATCACTACCCTGAATTGCGAAAAGTCACGGAAACTCTCAAAGCCCCCACTGAGCTAAGCAATTATTTTACAAGGACGATCACAGTCTGTCAGTGGCGGAGGTGCAGGTGGGGGAGTAGTCGCATGCCTAGCCAACAGCGCCCTCGTGTGGAACTCACCCTTGCTCGAAAAACGCGAAGCTCACCGGCAGGGGCATGTGATGGATGCTCAGCGGAACGGGTTCTCTCTCCTCTGGCGGGTACTTGGGAAGGGGTGGAGAGAAAAATCGCGTCGCTTCACTCATTGAAGAAGAAGAAGAAAAAAACCAGCTGGAATGCCAATTCGTTAAGGGAACATCAATTACAATTGTTTTGCTGGGGGAATGAGGCTGCGCAAAGAAAAGTCGGCGCGGAAACGGACAGAAACAGATGGGCCTTGTGTTCCATCACCGATGCGTTCACATCCCAACATGCGTGCAACTAACCGTACTGGTAGGTATCTGTGCCGCTCTATTTGTTTTATATTCATGAGGAATCTGTTCAATGTGCAGGCACTAGGTGGATTTCTGCAGAGCAGATCCGCGAGGGATGGGCAACGACTTGGGGAGGGACTTTGTCCAGCAGTGGATTGACCATGGCCGAGGAAAAATTGAGAAGCGCTTCTCTTTGGCGAGCGGGTGGACGCGGTGGGGGGGGGGGGGGAAGGGGGCGGTGGGGGCGGCCCCCCCCACGGTGACCTCGCTGCCCTGCACCGACACTTCGGGCCGGCGGAAGTGGGCGAGCGCCGTGACGGCCGCCACCGTGGCCGCGTCCAGAACGTTTCCGTCGTGGTTCAGCAGGTGCACGTCGGCGCGGACCTGCCACACCTGCAAGGGCACCGATAACAACACGTGACTCCATGCGCATGTGTTGCGGTGGGAATGACAAGGTGCCATAGCCTGGGCTTGCCAGGAGGAGACAGGACAGAAAACTATGCAACAATGTCATCTTCGCCTTCTGCATGGGATAGAGTGTTGCCCCCTCGCACCCGTGGGTGTTCTCCAGGTGCTCCGTTTTTATCCCATGTGTATCAACACTCATTAATTGGCTGGGAGATGTGCATGCTTGGAATTACACCGAGACAGAAAGAGAGGCAGAATGCAAGAGGAACACATGGCATCAGAGAACGTAAATCATATCGAATGTGTAAACAAATGTTTTATTTTGCATTGTCACTAGAAGGGGTGACAGCCGGTGGTCGAGACTAACGATGGAGTGCCGGCCATAGGACGGTAAGACGCCCGAGAAGACATCGACTGCTGAGATGGAGCGGTTGAGATCGGCTCGTGTGCAGGAGCTCGGCGGATCGTTTCATCGCAAGTCGGCGAGAGACGGTGACGGTTCGGGGAGGCTTTCTTCACCCAGCGGTGGATAGACAATAGACGAAGGGGCTGTACGTGTACGCGTCACATTCAGCGGCAGTGATGACCCACCTTCTCCCCGGCGATCACGCACAGAGACTCGGTGTCCACGCAGCGCGACGTCCTCAAGCAGCGCTCCAACAGGCGGTTCAGCTCCACGCCCATTTCAGACTGCCTGTGGTGACGCGTGCACACCCGCGCACACACCGCACGCACGGTTGGCTGTGTACGGTGCAAAACAAGTTCGACACATCTACATAAGCATGACTTCGCCCCCTACTGGCAGACTAATGCAGTACGGGGGAGGCGGGGCGATGATTGTTACGTATAAACCGAATCAAGTAATTTACACACATGCAGACAGACGCACACACGAATAGACACGCATGTACAGCCACACGCTCACATGTACAGGCGGTCCCCGCTTTTACGACGTAATGCGTTGTTACTGGAAACCCCGTCGCTGTAAACCGGATCACAGTAAATCGGACCCTATTTTTCTGTAACGGTAAAAAAATCATTTGTCGATGTATTTTTCCTTTTATCAGCCGTATTTACCATGGTTTCACAGGTAAAAATCCGCAAAAACTCCAGAATAACAAAAGCTCCATGCCAAGTCACATCAGAAACCAGACCGACTCTGTTCAATTGCAGAATCAGAATGTATTTATGCCGGAGGAAGATGCGCCGTAAAACAAGTTTCTGCCTCGTAAATCGATCCACGGCGACCGTTACGTAAACTTAATAAAAACGTGGATCGTCCGTAAAATCGGACCGTCGTAAAACCGGAGCCCGCCTGCACACGTGTGTGCGCGCACGCGACAGAGACTCGTGCGAAGACGGGAGACGGTGGCAGCGGCAGCTTTTCACGAGAGCGCACCTGCCCGCCTCGAACGCCGGCGACGCCATGGGCGAAAGCTCCAGGTTGACAAAGAGGATGCCGTCCGTCGGCCGGTTCTGCTTCGGCGCCACCAGCTCGCAGGAGACCTGCGCCAGCACCCTGTGGGCAGGAGGAGACGGCTCGGCGCGGAGGGCAAAAGGAGAGCGGGTCCTCGTTGTTTAACGCGGCGCTGAGACGCGCTCGTGGAAAGCGCAGCGTTGAGCGAATGAAACGCGTCGAGCGAAAAACGATCAAGTTTGGCGAGATACGATGCAGGCACGCGCACGGCGAGAAGGCGGGAAAATAACTGAAGGTGCGCTGCTGTGTTGCGGTATCATTCCGCGTACTGTATCGTACTGCTCAGCTGCACAGCTCAAGAAAGTAGTTGGTCGTGGACCACTCATAAACCGCATTTCAACAGTGCGCGTTCCATGTTTGGCAAAAAGTGTTCCCTCACGAAAGAACTGCGTTATAGCGAAAACGCGTTGTGTGAACACGCGGTAAGCGTGGGCTTACCATATGAGCAACGCCTCCTGTGCATGGGGTGATGGAGCGATGAGATTAATTCGTGTGCAGGTGCTAAGTGGGTTGCTAGCCACTCACTGCTCCCTCTGTCTCTATGCAACTGCAATGTCCTGTAACTGCCGACAAGCCTTGGAATAAAGGATGCCGAGTCGCTCTCTATTTATTGTGTTTGTGTTCACTCGTTATTTTTTAAACTTTCTGTTACACTTGTAGGAGAGTTGCTCAGCTCTGTGGGCCTTACCCGGCAGAAACAAAGCCCCGATTGTCTCCGAGTCTCACCACTCGTTCGCGCGCCGCTCACCTCGTCTTGCCCAGCTCCACCATGCAGCAGCCGGAGTCGACGCCGAACACGAGCTTCATGCGGCGGTAGTCGTACGTCTCCCGGCCATCGAGGCGCTGCCGCACGGCCACGGGTAGCGGAGACGAGAGGTGAGAACTTTGCCGAGTGAGTGGCCATGTCTGTGACCAGTGTGCTGTTAACACGTACAGCCCCTTTGTCAACCGCACTGCTGAGCATGGGCACTGGCGGAACCAGTGGGGGGGGGGGGGGGCGGTGTGGCATGTGTCGGGTGGTGGCGGGTTTAACGACACATTAATATTAACGTGATCTAACCCCCCCAATTTATTTATCTATTATGGATACTGGTCGCGAAAGCCTCCTACGACTACGTGCTAAACTAATGCGGGTTATAGGACCGCTCTTATAATCCCATAAAAGCCAAGTGAAATAGAGAAACCCCGTATAGCCTCAAGGGACTGTCGGGCAAGTGCTGTGAGCGAGCGGCAGCTGTGAAGACTTCCAGCACGGCACACGAGGGGGGGGGGCAACACCACGCCCGGCCGCCTTTGTCTCCCCAAATGCTGACGACGTTTAAACACCACCACCACCAGATATTCATCAGTGACCGCCACGACCGCTCTAGACAAATATAAAAGTCCCCCGTGTAGCCTTCAACAGAGTGGTGGGGCAAGTGCTGTCAGCGAGCACCTATGAAGGCCGGCACGGCACGTGAGTGGGGTGGGTGGCCAGTACCACGCCCGGCCGCCTTTGTCTCCCCAGTGGCGATGTTTGCATACCGCACCATGCGAGGATGAGGCGGATGATGAGTATGAGGAGTATGATGACGAGGAGTATGAGTATGTGTAGGAGTATGAGGAGGAGGAGGAGTATGAGAGTATGATGATGAGTATGTGTATGAGGCGTATGAGGATGAGTATGATGAGTATGAGAGTATGAGGAGTATGATGATGAGTATGATGAGTATGTTTAGGAGTATGAGAGTATGAGTATGATGATGAGTATGATGAGTATGTGTAGGAGTATGATGAGGAGTATGTGTAGGAGTATGAGAGTATGATGATGAGTATGATGAGGAGAATGAGCGCTCACACCTTCCTCTCCTTGATGGCCTGCAGGATGAAGGCGCGCTCGCAGTTGGAGAGGGGAACCTCCTTCATGGCGCCTTCTCCTCAGTCGCTCGCCTCAGCTCGTCGGCTCCGGCTCGGCTCTGGCTCTGGCTCGGTTCCGGCTCGGTTCTGGCTCGGCTCTAGCTCGGTTCCGGCTCGGCTCCGTCTCAGCTCGGCTCGACTCGCGACTCCAAACTCGCTCGCTCTTCGGCGGCTTCCCCAACCACGTGCGAACCGCGGTGACGTCACGCGCGGGTTGTTAAACTCGCGAGGAGACATGACGTCACCGCGCCGCCTCGCGTGAAGGAGCGCCTTCGGCTCGATGACGTCAGACGTCAGGGCGCGTGCCGCGTGACCGGAGGGTGACGTCGTCGTCGCGAAGGTTTCATTGGGGTTCCTTAGGTTTCATTTGGGTTCCTTAGGTTTCATTGGGGTTCCTTAGGTTTCTACGGGTTCCTTAGGTTTCATTGGGTTCCTTAGGTTTCATTAGGTTCCTTAGGTTTCATTGGGTTCCTTAGGTTTCATTGGGTTCCTTAGGTTTCATTTGAGTTCCTTAGGTTTCATTGGGTTCCTTAGGTTTCATTGGGTTCCTTAGGTTTCTTTGGTTCCTTACTTTTCATTTGGGTTCCTTAGGTTTCATTTGGTTCCTTAGGTTTCATAGGGTTCCTTAGGTTTCATTGGGTTCCTTAGGTTCCTTAGGTTTCATTGGGTTCCTTAGGTTCCTTAGGTTTCATTGGGTTCCTTAGATTTCATTGGGTTCCTTGGGTTTCATTGGGTTCCTTAGGTTTCATTGGGTTCCTTAGGTTTCATTGGGTTCCTTAGGTTTCTTTGGTTCCTTACTTTTCATTTGGGTTCCTTAGGTTTCATTGGGTTCCTTAGGTTTCTTTGGTTCCTTACTTTTCATTTGGGTTCCTTAGGTTTCATTGGGTTCCTTAGATTTCATTGGGTTCCTTGGGTTTCATTGGGTTCCTTAGGTTTCATTGGGTTCCTTAGGTTTCATTGGGTTCCTTAGGTTTCTTTGGTTCCTTACTTTTCATTTGGGTTCCTTAGGTTTCATTGGGTTCCTTAGGTTTCATAGGGTTCCTTAGGTTTCATTGGGTGCCTTAGGTTTCCTTAGGTTCCTTATATTTCATTGGTTCCTTAGGTTTCATTTGGGTTCATTAGGCTTCATTGGGTTCCTTAGGTTTCATTGGTTCCTTAGGTTTCATTTGGGTTCCTTAGGTTTCATTTGGGTTCCTTAGGTTTCATTGGGTTCCTTAGGTTTCATTTGGGTTCCTTAGGTTTCATTTGGGTTCCTTAGGTTTCATTGGGTTCCTTAGGTTTTATTTGGGTTCCTTAGGTTTTATTTGGGTTCCTTAGGTTTTATTTAGGTTCCTTAGGTTTCATTGGGTTCCTTAGGTTTCATTGGGTTCCTTAGGTTTAATTTGGGTTCCTTAAGTTTCATTGGGTTCCTTAGGTTTCATTTGGGTTCCTTAGGTTTCATTTGGGTTCCTTTGGTTTCATTGGGTTGCTTAGGTTTCATTGGGTTCCTTAGGTTTCATTGGGTTCCTTAGGTTTCATTTGGGTTCCTTAAGTTTCATTGGGTTCCTTAGGTTTCATTTGGGTTCCTTAGGTTTCATTTGGGTTCCTTAGGTTTCATTGGGTTTCTTAGGTTTCATTGGGTTCCTTAGGTTTCATTTGGGTTCCTTAAGTTTCATTGGGTTCCTTAGGTTTCATTTGGGTTCCTTAGGTTTCATTGGGTTTCTTAGGTTTATACTGGGTCCTTAGGTCTCATTTGGGTGCCTTAGGTTTCATTTGGGTCCCTTAGGTTTCATAGGTTTCTACTGGGTCCTTAGGTTTCATTTGGGTTCCTTAGGTTTCATTTGGGTTCCTTAGGTTTCATTGGATTTCTTAGGTTTCTACTGGGTCATTAGGTCTCATTTGGGTGCCTTAGGTTTCAGTAGGGTTAATTTGGGCTCCTTAGGTTTCATTAGGTTCCTTATGTTTCTACGGGTTCCTTAGGTTTCACTTGGATTATTAGGCTTCAATAAAATCTTTCAGATTACCGGTAATTTGAACCCTTCGGTATCAATAAAATCCTTATGTTTCATTGTGATCCTTAGGTTTAATTGGAAAACCTTAACATTCAGTTAGATCCTTGGGGTTCAGTGCAGGCTTATTCCAAGCAAATTGGTTGCGTAGACATTAAAATAAAAATCACATTTCTATCCACGTTTTTGCCTTTGGGGCCGTCCATAAATGACGTCACGCACCTAGGGGGGGTGGGGGTTTGAGAATGTGACGTCACATCAAAATGCGCAACTTTAAATAAATAAAGACGACACGTTCTACTTAATTAAATAGACTTTTTAATAAACGTTTTCTCCTACATCAGAGTGCAGCGCCACATTAAATACGCACTACAATGACAATAGTTTAAAGCGATTTGAAGCATGTCTTATTTGGGGGGCGGGGGCAGAGCTTTGTGACGTCATTTTTGAGGGTGGGGTCTGACTTTGTGACGCCGTGTGACGAAGGGGGGGGGGGGGGTCAAAAATCGTCCAAAATCGCGTGACGTCATTTATGGACGGCCCCTCTACGTGACAAAGCAAGGGAACGTCCATGATGAATGCCCAACCCAAGCAGCCACCATCTCTTAGTCGAGCGAAAAACAATTCCTATAGCTCCTGCACATTATAAAATGTTATTGCTCCATCTCAACAAGCGTCATTCGCCACTATGTGGCGGTGACATCTCCACGACGCTTGTGCCAGGCCATGTGCACCTTGAGGCCACGTGAAGTGTCGAACGCCCGCTGGCAGGTCACGGGGCAGACCCAGGTGCCACGGGTCGACTGAGATGACCGAGATGACTGGCTGATGCACCACCTGTGCCCCCTACTGTGCCAACTTGCTTTAGCCACCCGGCACTCCGCTCGTTGTTGTGAGCGTCGCTCCTCTGCCCTCCGTTGTTGATGCAGGGCGACTGCCTCCAACTGCCCAGTAGCGTCCTCCACAGAGGCCGATCTTGACACTGCTGGTACCAGTCATCGGCAAGTCCACTCAGCTCCACGTCCTCCTGTACCACATCACTCCATCTCTTCTCTAGCCCGTACCGCGCCTGTTTAGCCCCCTCGATCCGGCCGAACAAAATCTGTTTAGGCTTGCGGTGGCTGGGCTACTTGAACCAGCCAACGCAGCCTTGCTTGCCGGAGCTCACCGATGGCACTTTGACCACATCTTTCAAGGATTTGTGTGTCCTCACACAATCCAGCCTGGCTAAACCCAGGATGGATCGTAGGCAGGCCAGCCTAAATGTTTCTAACCGGCAAAGATGCTCCATTAGGAGGGTCCACGTTTCGCAAGTGTAGAGAAGGCAGGGAATGACTGTGGCCAAGACCTGAAGTTTCATGCAGAGCGACAGACCAGGTAGCTTCCACACAGCGTTACGCAACCGATGAAAAGATAATTCTGCTCGATTGATTCGGAGACCTCTGCTGTCAAACTGGAGCCAGGCATGAGCACACAAATTTTATCACTCCATCTCCTCAGAGCACGTACTCTCAAGCATGTTCACTTGAAGACTGCCATTCCGTTAAGTCTCGACCACCAGCCATCATGTGGGACATCTGTGAAAAAGATCTTTATAGCTCATCGGATTCCTCCAGGATATTCTGATCATCAGATACTTCTATTTTATGTACACTGGTCTCAAGTCAATCTCTAACCTTCATGTTCTCCGATTCATGTCATGTGTTTCTCTGTTATTATAATTCCAATAATGCACCTCTCCAGCCAAGTAAAGAAAAATACAAATTTGGATGAAGTTTTAAATCGGTGTGAATTACATTCTCCGACATAAACATTCACAAATAATGAACAAAATCTCAAGTGTGCCAAGAAGCATGGTTGCTTGCTAGGCCACATGCAATTTGTCTTACATAGCTCAGAACTACAAGAGACGAACATTGTCCAGGGCTCATCTGATAGAACCTGAGCTTGGGTACATTCCATATCCTTCCGATATATATCTCATCTCTAAAATATTTACAGTTTTTTATACCAACCATATGTACATTGTTATGGAAACAATAATTGGGAAAACTTAAGATGTTTATGTTTTTATTACTTCAGTATTCATGGAGCCAGTATAGAAATTATTCAAGTTTTTTTTTAAATGTCAATGTGCTCGAGCCCAAACAGTTCGTTGCAAAAAGCCATTTTTAAGCAATTCAAAGATTAATATATCTTGTTGTCTTGAGTCCAAATGTTTCTATTCGGCAGCCGTCAATCACTTTTAATCACATTTAAAAAATAAATATCTTACATTGTAACAAATCTCTTCTTGGCTGTAGCCTCAATGATTATAAATTAATGTTTTCATTTATATGCAAATAGTAAACATGTGGCTCATGTTTAGATAATTAAACCGCTTGTAATAAGTGATAATATTCACACAACATATGTATGGCCCCTAAATATATGTATAACCACCACGAACACATTTATTAAAATTTACATGAATGTATAATAGAACGCCTTTGGCAAAAGTAAACCCCAATTGACAGCATCCCCACTGCACACCTTGGCACAGTCGAGTCCAGCGGGGTGCAACTTTAATTATCACCGCGGCATTCAATTCCCATTCATTTAACTTCGCGCACAGCCACAGCGCCAACACTCGTGCGCGGTGCGCGTTAACCCCCTCGCTCATCAGAAGTCAAAGGCTTCCACCACAGGCAGAAACACAAATCCTGAGAAAGTCGGCTCCTGCCTGAGAAAACTCATGCGGTGTCCGGGTAAAATTTGTGTAACGATCGGACAATAATCCGGCATTGATCGGGCAACCGTCGGGCAACAATCAGACGTCGATCGCGCAACAATCGTGCAACGTTTGAGTCAAATCAATCAATGATGGGGCAGGAATCAGGAGATGATGAGAAAAAAATGAACGACTGCACCGCAATCGTGCGTTGATCTGGAAAAAGTCGAAGGAAAGTTGCGCAACAATTAGGCAATGATCAAGCAGCGATCAGGAGATAATCACACCACAATCATTCGACAATCATGCGAACAACAAAATGGGGTGACTGGGTGATGGACCATACACCGCTATCACCGCTCCTTGGCCACATCCTCCGTGAAGGCTGCCAGCAAGGCATCGGCCGCCGCCCCGGGTGCCAGCAGCCCCTCGGCAACGCGGGTTTCCAGCTGGGTGGCACGGGCGCGCACGACTGGGTGAGCGAGGAAGAGTTCCAGGACGCCGTCGCGGATGAGGGAGCGCATCC